TCATTTCCACCATCATAAATGAAAACCTCTCCTAAAGAACTACATTTTTGTTGCGTGGATGTTGTATTTTCAGGTGTTGCCCCTAAACTTAAGCTGCTGTTGAAGGACTGTCGGTTTTGAATTTGTTTCTCTTCCTGAGCAGACTCACACAGCCTGGCTCAGAGTTCACTAGACAAAATCATGCAGATTACATGGGATAGTGGGTTTGAACTTGCCTTAGGCTGAGAGACAGGCAGGATGTTGATCTGCAGAGGCTTATGTAAACAACTTCTGCAAAATAAGAGCCTTCTCTGGAAAAGGGAAAGCTGTTACATGTTAAAAAGTGAACAGAAGAAACTGCAGAACTTCCTGCATTTCCTTCTGATGTGTTAATTCTACCATTTTCAGAAGGTAAGCTAAGAAGTAGCTGTACCTCTGTCTGGCATAAATGAATTCATTCATTTGGCACTTAACTGCGGTACTGTCCTTTGCAAAAATAAGTGGCTCCATTCTCTTCAAATTAAGTCATATATTATTGGAAATAGGACACATCTTTGAAAGAATTTGAACTTCACAAAGTTTTCTCATGGTATGTAAAACTCTTTCAGAATAATAACCAGGCTGCAGTTTGGTAGCTATTTCCTGTTAGAGATGGTTTAGTTAAATGCTGATCCTTTTTTGCACTGGAAGAACCTCAGATTTATCTTCAGGGAAGGTGGTGACCTAATGGATTATATGGGGGTTTCCTGCAGGCAGAATGAAAAGGGAATTCTAGTCCAGAACATGCCAGTGATTTTGGGTGTAAGAAATGACATCCCTGTCAATAAATGTCCATAATTTTTTTTTAATTACTGGTTTTCCAGAGGTCTCTGTCTCTTTGTCTTTTTTCTTTTTCTTTTTTCTTGCCCTAGAGTTAATGGCACTCTCCCAGATTAAAGCTCTTTGACACAGCTATAGAATAAACTCAGTAATTTTATGTTTACCTAGTCAGACAGTTGATACTTTGTTTCATCTCTATGGTCCTGTTTTGCTTTGAGTTTTTTTAATTTGGTTGTTTTAAGGTATGGTGTGACCTTATGGTCCTTAATGGCCAATATCTTTGATTAATCTTAAACTTATTTCCCTTTTAATATTTTCTTGGTAATCTTTAAAAAAACAGTAATGTAAGAGTATTTATAAAATGGCTTCATCCTGAAGTACTAGATCACTTCTTAGGGTCATTGTTGGGTTGTCTCTCACAAGAAGATTATGGGCCTGGAGAATACTCTAACATGTAATATTTTTATTTTGAATGAGGCACTGAAATATTAACTGACTTGTGTAAGGTTATAGAGTATCATCAACTACAACAGAATTAAGCTAGGTTTAGGGTATAACAAAAGGCAATTTTCCAATTATTTTGTCTTCATCAACTTCTTCAGCATCCAGTCTTGTCTCTTGCTTTTCTCTTGCGTGACATCTGGCTAGTTGCTGCACTTCCCTTGTCCATTAAATTTTTTATCAAGTATTTTGCTGGTTTTTCAAATTGGCTGTGTTTTTTTCATCCATGTCAGTCTTTTTTGTACAAGTTTCTCCTATAAGGGAGTCCAATAACAACTTTTCAATATTTTACTCCATTAATAAGCATGGTTTATTGGCTGTTACTGTGAAGAATGACACTTTTCACTCAAAGGATCTTTCTTATAGAAAAGCAGTGTTTAAAGTTTCATGATTTTTTTTTGCTCTCACCTAAAAAGTATAATCAGTTATAAACTGGTACCAGGAGGATTTGGTGACAAAGAGAAATCTATTTTTTTATTCTACTGTTAACTACATTAGAAGACAATGGAAACGTTTAAAGTGCCTTGCTAGTATCAAGCTTCCATGCAGATAATTGCTGTAGTAGCCTTTGGGAATGGGAGAAAAGCTTATCCAAGCCAACATAAATCACAAGTGAGATGCCCATGAGATAATCTTACTTGAAAGATATTACTGTGTCCAAGAATATCTGTGTCTCAGCATTGCAAGTAAACTGCTCTCCAGTTCTGACAGGATTCGCCTGTTTGCTTTCACCATCCTGATTCCCTCTCGATTTAAAATATTGTTTTACTGCGAATTTCTACCTTTCTTTTAAGTGGTTGTTCTTGCTGTTATCACATGGTCGCGGGAAGGGTGAGGGATGGGTCTGTTTCAGCGAGCCCAAGATCTCGGCTGGTTTTGCCTCGCTCCTTTGCCTTTGCTGGCTGCGGTCACATGAGGGCACTGCGTCTGTGAGCAAAGGTTTGTGTTTCACCATGCAGACACTGTGTACTGGCAGACACAGCTTCTGAACTAAGTGTGCTGCTAAAAGAATAGCTTCTGCACTCAAAACTAATTTTGGCATTAGAAGAATTGAAAAACCCCTACAGCTGGAAGAAGGAGCTATGCACAACTGCTAACAGAACATCTTTGATTCTGGCAAATATTTTTAATCTTTCCTCATGAAATAGTGACAGTCCTTTCAACTTTTGAGAATTTTCTCTCATGGTTTTACTCTGGAAATATAATATATTTTAGCAGCTTGTTCACTATTTTAAACACTGCAAGAAACAATTCACTGGCACATGAGTCTCTCAGGTGTTTCCCTGGTGGAGCTTTACCATTGCTGCTGGTAGGTCACAGCATGAAGGTTTTTTTCAGAGATTTTTAGCCCAGTTGAAACTTTTGGTGTTTTGCCACTGTGGACTGGGAGGAGTGGTCTCCTGAGTTGGGTAATGTGGTGTAAGCATGTGTACAAGCCAAATTCAGGAAAACACAAGTGCAGAGATGAAGGAAGGCTGTAGTGCTCACTGAGTGATGCTCTGACCTGTGCTGTCATGCCTGGTTTATACAGGCCACATTTAGCGAGTTTAGTTCAGTTTTATAAACCAGTAAATTCCCTGTCTGGGGTGTTAAAAGTCACAAAGTGCTGTTCCTAATGTAACTCATGTAAATTGAGCAGCTTTTCTGAGCCATACTGGCAGAAAACTGCTACATTTAGAGCATCGCCGGTGTGTTATGATGGTTTTTCAGTGTGGGGCTGCCTACAAATGCTAACAAAACAAGCTCCAGATTCTGGAGTAAGAACCTCCATCCTTACACTGAACATGTTAAGTTTATTTTGGGTGCTCTCTGGGCTTGTAAAATTCTTCATACAACAAACACTCCAAGAACAATGCGGAGGAGTTTTCCCTTCTCTGAGCATCCTCTAACCCATCCATGCTGGGTCTCTCTGTTGGCAGAATGGTTTGTCTCCTTTGCACATGGCAACACAAGGGGATCATCTAAACTGTGTTCAGCTCCTGATTCAGCACAACGTGCCTGTAGACGACGTCACCAATGACTACCTGACTGCGCTGCATGTTGCTGCCCACTGTGGCCACTACAAAGTCGCCAAGGTTCTCTTGGACAAGAAAGCCAACCCTAATGCCAAAGCACTGGTGAGTGAATACACAGCAGGGCACTGTTCACGGCTAAACAGTCCTGCAAAGTTGTGCTGAGACTTATTGGGAGTTATCTTCTGCCTGCTGATGGCTGGCAGAGAGGAGCTACTGTTATTGCCGCAGCCCAAGAACAAACGCTGGAGGTTCCAAGTGTTAATAATGTATCCTGCAATCAGATATGACCTTTGCTTGCAGACAGTCAGCAGTGATTTATGAATTTCTAGTGTACTAGAGCACTTTTGCCTCCTGGTAGCTTTTTATGATAACGAATAGATGAAACAGCTGCAGACATGACTGCTGTAGTTTTTGGTATGGAGAGAATACTTGTTTTCCGAGTGTTTGTACAGAGAAAACAATGACGTTTAAAACTGAGGGAATTTTAATTCTCAGTGATATGAAACAATAAAAGGTAGGAATGAGTTACATAATGAGTATTTGTGATATTCTGTGTCAATGGAGTCATATGCCTTTCTACATTAGAAACAACTTCAGCAGGAAATAACATTAGTGCAGTTAAACTGCATACAAACAGAATACATTAATGCCTTTTGTTCAAATTGCAATCGCAATCCATTCTGTTTAAAATGTCTCTTTGATTTGTTCTTCAATAACTGCTCCAAAAAATTTACATTCTGACATGAATTGGGTTGATTGGTTTCACAGCCTGATACTAACTCATTCAACTCCTGAAATGTTCCGTGAGCTCCTGAAACCCTCACAAGCCATGTGGGATTGACTCTCTTGAAGACAGTACAGGCTCCACAGATTTTCTTCTCTCAGCCCTTGTGCTTTTTGTGTTAGATCAACCTGTATTCAGGTGTCTTTGGTCAAGCTATTATGATATATGAAAGAGACCTGAGCTCACCCTGGACATTGTGCACTGCCAAAGAGAGGGGTGAGAGCTGCTACACTGGAACAGACAATGACATGGACCTCACATCATGAAAACATACAATAGTCTTTACTATATGGCAGGTAAAAAAAGACAATTTTGACCAGATCTGAGGGACCAGCTCTGCCAATTGTTTTCAGAAAGTTCTGCAAAGGCTCTTTTGTACCGAGTAGCATCAGCATTCAGTGCTCCAATGTTACTGTACTAATCGTGGGTGCTCTGGATAGCCTATTTTCCTGATTTACCTTTTTTCTGTGTTATCATCTCACACTAAATAAGATGATAATTCAAATGTTCACTGCATTGCACACATCTTTTTTAAAGGAAGGGGTGAAATACTTGTAGTTGCAGTAAGCTGAAAGGTAATGAGTGGGGAAAACAAACAAGTGAAAAAACTAGTAAAAAGGTAAAAGTAGTTTAGAAGGTTAGAAGATGGAAATTCCAGAGCCTGTAAAAGGTAAAGTGCTTTTTTCACCAGTAGTTCTGAAAGGCTGAGAGAAAACCAACCAAAAATAGCCACCCCAAATTCCCCAAAAATTCCAGCAGAAACCCCCAGCCAGTTTGAATATTGTGAGCAAAAAAGGGTTTGATAGTTTTGCATGAATTGAGATTTTTTTTAAAAATAAATTAATTATTGGACTGGGCAATATATTTAATAATTAAAACTGGATATTGAAATAGATCTTTAGCTTCTCATAAATTTTTACTTTCTATTACATGTAAAATGTAGTAATGCCAAAATAAATTTGGGAGTTGTTCCTTTAAAATGGAAAAATCTTTTATGTGAATTCCATACTCATTTCTATTTTTGAATGGCATGAGGCATCAAAAAGTGTGTTTTTTCTCATTTTCAGAATGGTTTCACACCTCTTCACATTGCCTGCAAGAAGAACAGAATAAAAGTAATGGAACTTCTTCTAAAGCACGGTGCGTCAATTCAAGCTGTAACTGAGGTAAGAAATGTTCTTTCTATGCTTGTCTTTGCTTTTCCTACAAAATTTATTGTAACTGTATTGATTAGAATTTCAATCTTTCTGAAAGATCATGGACCAATAAAGTCAATAATTATTTTCAACTAGATATTATGAAATAATAAAAATGAACAATATGAACAATATGAACAATAAAGTCAGTTGCCCTAATGAATCACAAATATCTGATATATGTTGGGATTACAGTGAGAATAATAAGTGAAATGTAATAAAAAAAACTTTCTAAAATCTACCATTCCTGCCAATTGTTTTCCTGTAATTTAAGGCACTGAGGATGAAATTTGCTCTGTTGCAGACATCGAGGTGAAGACTATGTCTCACTGAAGTCCTTTTTAAAAGGTGGTTTAATTCAGACCTTGTTTTGGCTTTCCATGAAGAAGTTATATTCTCTCACCATCATAAGACCTCACAAATCAACTAGACAGAAATCAATATGCTGTCACTTCAGTCAGCATGAGATAGTCTGCACCCAGTTCTTGGAAAAATTCTGAGATTAATTAAGTAGCTGTGGGAGTTTTTATCTCCATGTATGTATATTGTACCAAGTTAGGAGAGGAGGAAAAATCACATATATGAATGTGTGACCACTGTGGAATGTTGGAAAATGACAGGGAATTCCATGGATTAAACAGGGTGCAATGGGAAATAATTCATCTCCACAAAACAGAGTTTGATTTAATGTGCATAGGGCTGTTCTAACTATTCAGGTCCCTTCCTGGCTTGCTTGAGGGCAAAGAGTCTGCTCTGGCTACAGTTCATGTAGTTTCAGACTTGCACTTAAAAGTTTTTAAAATCATTTGCTAAATTGCTTGAAACAGGTAAAAGAATTAACACACTCAGAAAGTTATTCTGCCTTCCTGTTCATGTTGCTGTTCCTGCACGAGAAAGGAAGATAAGTGTTTTCCTCACTTCTGCCCTCCGGGGCTTGTGTGTATCTGTGAGGAAGCTGCCTAAATCATGGGGATTTCCAGAGATCCACTGAGCTTTTTCCTTCTCTTGACAGCAAAATGCCCTTCTGAAGCCTCTGGTCGACTGTTGGTACAGCTGTGCAGAAGCAGTTGTGAGGAGGCTTTAGGGTGATTCTACATGGGGAAATATTAACTACTGGTTGGATTTTTAAAGCAAAATCCTTGAGGTCATGCCCTGCTGAATGACTGGTCCCTTCTTTTTTCCTCTCTTCTTCTCTCTCTCTCTTTCTCTCCAACTGGGCTTCCATATCCTGTGTAAGGGCAGTGGTGCAGATTCATGATGGTGAACTTTTTTGCACAAGCCAAATGTTTCAGAAAGCCTTGCCTTTGTACCAGGAATGCTTCTATCTTTATGTTTTTCCTGTTCCAAGACGGTATTTAGCAAATGCCTAATCTTAATCTTTCTTAGCTATGGTTGATTTTGTTGATGAAGAACTACTGAATTCCTAGAACATTTATATGTTTGCTCATGAACCACAATCATAGGTGTTTCCAATTCTTCTCCAATTCCCTTTCATTTAAGCACATGTATATGATTTTAAGAAGATAAAACCCTCTCAGAGGAGCAAGCAGCTGGGTTTGCTTGCTTTAGAAAATGTTATGTTTTCCTCTGGCGTTCCAGTAAAGGCATGTGGAAGTAGGTATTTAAATTGAGCTTTGGTCTGTTTTTCAGTCGGGCCTAACTCCAATCCATGTTGCTGCCTTCATGGGACATGTAAATATTGTATCGCAGCTAATGCATCATGGAGCATCCCCCAACACTACCAATGTGGTGAGTCACAGGTTTCCTTTCAGCAGGGCAGGACTGGGAATGAATGATAATACCTGGGCGCAGTACTGGGATGAAGTGCCTAATTCTGCTGTCCATCATCAGCGCCTGTGGGTCGTGCTGGAGTCATGGGGAGGTGTAGCCTGCTGACTCCTACTTGGGAGATGCTTGGCAGGTTGAGGAAATTTCCAGAGGGGCTGACCCTAAGCAGGCTCTAATCTCTTGATTTTCTGAAGTAAAGAATGAGAACATACTGTAGCTTCTCAGAAGTAACTTTTGAGATCTGTGCTTGAATGTTGAGCGCTCTTTTCCCAAGACCCCAGGGGTCTGCCATTTAAGGAAAATTCAACAGATTGCAGCAGATTGTGGGGACATATTGCCTGTGTCCATCCAGCCATCCGAGTGCACTCTTCTGCTGGCTGTGTGTTGCGTGCCCCAAGGCTCCTGGGGCATGTGTAAAAACTGAACTTATTCTTAGATGGGTATTTGAAAGCTGGGTAGTGGAAGAGAAGCAGAAGCTTGTTGATCCTCTAACAGTTAGGCCTCCTTTTCACTTTCCTTACACAAGTGCTGCTAGAAGACAATATTTTGTTAAAGTCTTCACCTGATGATTCTATTAAATTATATAAAAATACAACCCCTTTTGTTAATTAGCAGGTGTTTGTACCTAAAGACATATTGATACCCAAAAATGTAGAAACCACTTTCTCTCCTGAATTGTTCTGGTTTCCTTGGATTTGTCTTTCATTAAGTCCATGAAGCTTTAGATGAATGTACTCAGTAATGAGTTTCTTTTTCCTTCTTGTTCAATTGCCTCAGTGCTTGTCAGATAACAAATGATAGTAGAGGCATAAGGCATTACAGAAGGAAAGCTAAATATATGTGTGCCTGAATATACAAAATTTGAAATACATTTTTTATACTAAATTCAGCTCTATTTAAAAAGACATAATTTTAACATTGCTAATATAATACTAGTAATATAAAAATTGCAGTGTCTCTTTTCACCAAAAAATAATGGCACTATTGAGTTGGGAGATTGACCCTGCAATAAATTGCTTTGCAGCATACAGTGACAGGTCAAATATTGATTTAATCTTACATCTTACAGACAATTACAGCAGAGTTTTCTAGTGCTCATTCTGAGCTGGGTAGCCGGTATTTCTGTGTTTATAAAACACGCTGGTGTTTGTTCTTCCTGCAGTGTGTTTTTAATTCTGTTCTGTTTTTGCTGCTGCATGCAGAGAGGAGAGACAGCGCTGCACATGGCAGCCAGAGCTGGCCAGACAGAGGTCGTCCGGTACCTGGTACAAAACGGAGCCCAGGTGGAGGCAAAAGCCAAGGTGAGGAGATGGCCCAGGTGTAACAAACCTGGATGATCTGTACTGGACAAAGCAAAGACTCACATCATACTGTGTGTGTCCTTCAGGACGAGGAAGAGGGGAAGCCAAGCCTTTGTGATGCCCACTGATATTTTGTTATGTACTCTCTCTTTGTAGCCACGAGAGATCTGTAAGAGACAAGGCAGAAGAAGTCAGGTTGATACCATCCCAATTTTTAATATAAATTATCATGTGTTTGAAGACCTTTATTTTGAAGTGGGACTTCAGGAGGGAGAGGAATTCCTCAAATCTGTTTTTATTTCAGCAGAACTGAAAACCCCTGGCTTCTGGTGTCTCCTGTCATGTCCCTAAAGCAACAGTCTGCATGTATTCAAAAATAGTTAGACTTATAAAGAACACCATCTAAGGGAAGGAGGCACAGTGAGAGAATGTGGCAGAGGTCTGGAAAGAAGGAACAGATCCTATAGAAACAATTGCAGTTGGGGAGGGTAAGGGTGGAGAAAAAATAAATGGTCAAGAATCATGAAAGAACATGCAAAATTATGGAAATCAAAGAGTTCCAGGAAAGGAGATGAATGGGTGTGCAATAAATAGCAGTCTTAATAGGTAGTCAGGAAATATTTTTTTCCCCAAATGATCATAAAATGGATATATCCTTAAAAAAATCTAACTATTTTTCATTGTGGAATTATCTGTGAATTGGGTCACAAGTAAGTTTACTCTTAAGATGATCTACTTATAAGGAACTCTGACTAAATATTTATAGCTGGTACAGTTTATATCTGCAAAGACCCTGACAATAGAACTGATTCATGTGGTTTGTAAATCTCCAAAGACAGTCTTAAAAGTGAACAGCTCATGCTCAGAAGCAGTCATGCAAATATTTTCTGAGTAAATTCACAGAATGATTTGATTTGCGCAAACTGCCATTGTCTGTGATCAGTTTGTTATCATAAATAACAACTAAATCCAAGCAGTAGATAATACACCAGTGCTAACATCAGCTGTGAGAGATTTGTGGGAAACAGGCACAAACTGGAATCATTTAAGAATCACCTAGAGAACTGCCCTGTAGAGCGGCAGCATTTATATCCTGACATGCTCCCACCCTAAATCCAAAGATGTAAAGTAACTGTTGTAGGATGGGCGTAGGCAGAAATCTCCCTTGAAGAGAACAGCTCAGAACTACAGGACATGGGGTAGAAGTGCTTGAAAGGTAGGAAATTCAGCAGGGGAAAATGAGGAGAGAAAGATGCTTGGCCACGCAGTTGTGATAGTGTTCTTAATCCAAAGATTGTACAACAGAGAAGGGGGAGGACAAAAATACAAAACAAAATAATGAAGAGGTGAGATATTATCTCTTAAATGCTCAGAACAACAACAACAAGGTCACAACACCGTAATATTTTCAGTGAAGGAAAAGAAATGAACCATGAGATTCATGACAGAGAAACACCTGTACTTAAAACTATTCAGATTATTGTCTTCTGAATGAGAAGTAGAAAGTGATTAATTTCCACACCATGCTCTGTCATCAGTTACATTTATGGAAAAGTTAGCTGTAAAATACCAAAAAATCATTCACCAGTTAAAAAAGCACAAGAATTATGATACTTTATGCAAGTTTCCAAGCAGTAATTGATTGAACTATTATATATTGCTGTGAAACATAAAAGAGATCAAGACATGAGGTTCAGAATTACATACTGGCTTTGTTTTAAGAAAGAAATGCAAAGCAAATTGAGGCAAATCTGGATAAGGAAGAACTTGATGAATGTATTAACTTTTATGGATTATGTCACTGTCTGGAATTGTTTGTGATGCACTAACAAAGTGCAAGGTGTCTTTATAATATACACAGAAAAAGCCAGTGTGCAACATTCACTATCTAAGACCTCAGTAGAATTAACGCTCATCTGCAATTTTGAAAAGTGACAGAATGTTGGCAAATATTTTGTGTCCCAACAAGAGGCACAGTTTTCTCATGCAGGCCTGTGTTGTTGCCCCTGTGTTTAGGATGACCAAACGCCGCTGCACATTTCTGCCCGCCTGGGAAAAGCAGACATTGTGCAGCAGTTGCTGCAGCAGGGAGCATCTCCCAATGCAGCCACCACGTCAGGCTACACACCTCTGCACCTTTCTGCTCGGGAAGGGCATGAAGATGTAGCTTCTGTTCTTTTGGATCATGGTGCATCTCTGTCTATCATTACCAAGGTAAGCAAGCTGCAGGAGTGGCAGCTGGAATCGTAAAACATGCCTGTAGCAAGGGCTGCTTGTGAATTAAATACTGCAAGAGTCATACATGTGTACAGTGTAAGTGTATTACATTATTATTACATTTTATTAAAAAGGTACAAAGCTTCACGCTTGTGCCTCAGGACCTGATATATAACACATCCCAGTGATCAGACATGCATTTTCTTGGAATGGATGGCATGCAGCGCAGAAATTCCAGGTGGGTGTTGATAGGCTTGCCCTTGGGACTTTGGTAGTGTGAAGAAAGGAACCAGCTCTTTCCTTGTTTAATGTAGATAGTGCTTTGCCTTGCAAGGGAAAGGCCTCCAGACCCCACAGTGCAGCTGGAGATCTGCAGGCTTGCTGCCTGTACTCAGGACTATATAATGGGGTGGATGGAAGCAACTGCAAGAGACAAACCTTGCCCTGAGAAAGAGTGCCCAGGGCTTCTATATTACTACTTTCTCTTACAGAAAGGATTTACTCCACTACATGTGGCTGCAAAGTACGGGAAAATTGAGGTAGCCAACCTCCTGCTTCAGAAGAATGCATCTCCTGATGCTTCTGGAAAGGTAGGATAGAAGAAGCCACTGCCACTTGCACAGCAAATATCTCAAACCAGATAATATTTTACTAATGTCCTTTTACCTGCTTACCATCACACTAGTATCCACAGCATGGGTTTAGCTGGATTTGGTTTAATGTGGTATTCCAGTCCCTGCAAACTCAACAAAGTGACTTTTATTGTCATTAATTGACAGCAAAGTGATGTGCTCTGTGCTCACAACCAGGGGAATGGAGACAAACCATTCCCCTGTGTTCCTACCCAGACTATTTACAGTCCTTATCAGAGTATTTGGGTAGCTGGCTCTGCTTCCCCAGGTCTCATGACAGGAGGGGGCAGGGGAGGGGGG